CTAACAAAGTAAAGGGAATAGAAAATGTAATATTGTCTGTCCAAAATAACAGTGAAGATCAAAATCTATCACCCAAAAATAACAATAAACGATGAAGACATTGAAAATGTCACAAACTTTGAATATCTAGGCTCTATAATAAATAGCAATGGAGACTGCTTGACATAAATTAAAAGGAGGATGGCAATAGCAATGCAAAAATTAAACAGCATTAAAAGTCTATGGTTAAGCACCAGCAAGGAGCTCAAAATTTGAATTTTGAGAGCGTGCATCTTCCCTGTAGCAACATAGGGATGTGAGTCGTGGACTATTTCTCAGTCCTTAAGAAAGAGAATAGGGGCTTTTGAGCTGAAATGCTATAGAAAGATTCTCATAATATCTTGGACAAAGAAGAGGAGAAATACTAATATCTTGAAATATCTGAACATCAAGGAAGATTGGCTAATAAACAGCATCCTGTCTCGAAAGCTGAAATATGTTGGTAATATCAAGCGCCAAGACAGACTGGGAAAACAAAATAGCAGAGGGCATGGTATCAGGAAGGAAGGGCAGGGGTTGATCAACACGAAGATTGGCACATGATATAAGTGACTCCTTGAGTATGAAAGTACATGAGGCGGGAGAACTGGAGAGAGACCGAGTTTCTTTCAGGCAGACCGTGATGAGAGCGATGTTCTGCAATGTATCTGCTAAATGATGATGATGATGATGATGATGATGTTTCTTTCAGTAGCTATGCGGTTTTTTAAATAGTAAGTGTGTATGTGTGTGTGTGTCCATCTACCTTTTCATCAATCTATCCATCCGTCCGTCTGTCGATCCGAATATCCATCCATTCAAATATCCATCCCTAAATCCACCGATCCGTCTGTCTTATCACGATCCATTTTTCACTACTCTTATTATAGCTAGATATGTGCAGCTGCACAGGGCGGCAAAAGGTTGAGGGGAGGGGGGGCAAACTTTTAGAGCGGCAAAACATGGCTACCAATAAAAGGACGGACTAAATTTGAGGTTTCTATGATATAGTTTTTCTTCTATTAAACCCATATATTGTCTGTGTGTTTATTATATACTTTTTCTTTAAAATAAATTATAGTTTTAAACATGCACATTTGTTTTATTAGTTGTGAATTCGACTGAGTTTAAATAAACTTCTTATACAGTTTAAAACTCAAGTAAATAATTCCACAACTTACTGGTTGATTGCTGGTAGTCTAAATTATAATTCTTTAACTGCGCAGGAGCGTCATAAATCCTAAACATGGGCTTGGATACGCACCCATTTCCCAGTCTAGAAAAAAGTATCCGCCATCAAATGATCGCTGAGCAGTCGTCGGAAATCACTGTTGAGTGAATACATGTAGGTGTGAGTGAGTGATAACCGTTAGAGACATCGCAAGTGTAGTGAGACAAGCTTACCTTGACAATATACAGTAAACCGATGATCGGCCAATGGTAATAGCGGTTAATATTGTTCAGGTGACAGTTAGAGCTCGGGGCTAGTCATGCAAATAAACAGTAGTTACGTAGTTTAAGGGAACCGTAGTTACGTAGTTTAAGGGAACCGTAGTTAAGTAGTTTCCGTGAACGGTAGTTATGTAGTGTACGTGTTCTGTAAGTAGTGTTAATGAGCTGGGGTTATGCAGTCCATGTGTGAGTTCTGGGGCCCTACTGTGAGGGAAAACAAGAGACCTACTGCCTCCCCCAAAAAGCATGCTGTAAGAGTCGACTAACTGAGAGCTTCCTTCGAAGTCGGAGTGCATCTGTCTGAGGAATAAGGGACCAACTGTCTGCATACAGCTAATTCAGATCTGTAAAATGAATGTGCACGCAAAAATCAGGTCCAGAGGTGGACGAATAACCATAACTTCGTAGGAGTTTACAGCCGGTGAAAGTGAAGATATAGAAAAAGTTTTGCAGTGTAAGTGAACTGTGGTTGTATTACAGAAGTGAAGAGAATTTTTTTGTTAATTGAAGATGCAAGATGTCTGCCTAAAATAGGTGTTTAGTGTCTGCATGGAACACGGATAAGTCCTTGTTTGTTTATTTAATCAAAGGATCAACATCATGGCACACGGGTGCAACCCGTAAGTGCTCCGTCCTACTTCAAACTCAAAGCTGAGTCTGAAGAACCTCTGTGCAGTGCAAGAATTCCACTGCACCTGCGAGGATCCTGAAATACCGTGGGTAAATTTGTAACTCCAAATTTTGCCCGGGCAGCTCCGTTAGGCTACTCTTTTCGATTTTGAGGTATTTTTTAACGTGCGCAACAATACACACGGGCGCCCGATTTTACTACCCAGAGACCAGTGGAAATTGCTAGAAGTCCACGTCAAAAAATCCCAGTCTTTACCGGGGCTTGAACCCGGGACCTCCAGCACTCGAGGCAGACGCCATACATCGAGACCACTCAGAAACCCCCCCCCCCCCCCCCATAAGTCATGTTCTACTTTTCCGCGTCAGTGCTTGAAGAAGCATCATGTGCGAACTTTGGTATGTGCTAAATAGACGCTAGCATTCATTGCCTTAGAGATTCCTCTATCCGTCGCTTGTACAGTCGACCTCTAGCTCTGATGAAATTATCCGTCTATGCTAACCCCAAGATCTGCTTCCATTGTGTTCAAATACATAGGGCTCTCTGTGGTGCCCTATCTGGTGGTATCTTGACAATGACCAAATCATCTGATCTGTTATCTTTTGGTGTAATTTGGGACTGTTTCCGCTCCAGCTTGTTTCATGATATCGTCATTGCTTATCCTGTATCTTCCAATTTAATTTAGAATTCGTCGCATACATTTCGTTTCAGTTGTTTCGATTTTTCTTTTGCTGTTAATATCCATGTTTTGGCACTGGTAACACTATGTTGGTTAACAAATACTCTGTTCAACAATGCCTTCTGGAGTCAATTGTTGAAAAACTAGAGGTATCTGCTCAGTGTTTTGATTTGATTCCTGACATCAGTGTTCAATCTCTGATTCCATTTTGCCGAATCGCTTTCATTGGCAAGAGAACTGAACTATCGCAATGGACTGGAATAATATTATTTCGATCGTCACACTGAGTGGACATATCGTTCCTCCCCTTTTGCTGGAATTAAAGCAGGTAGACGCTGACAGGTATTGCGATAGCAACACTTAGGCAGGAATAGGCAGTGGCTGTGTACGAAAATAGTGTGAGACAATGTTAATGTATCTATAAGCCGGTTTAGCGCAATGGCTAAACGCTTGCCTGCTACTCCGATTATCTTCAGGTTGATTCTTCAAATATTGGTCAAGCACCATATGCCTGCTGCACCAATGGCGTGTTTAAAAAAATCCTTTACTTACTTACAGTGCATCTGAATGGTTTTTTAACATGAATTGGAACTTTCTGGGTCACTTGCAGAATTACAGAATCAGTAAGACGGCACGCTGTGACCACCATTTGTAGAAAGAACAGAACATTATCAGACGCCCTTTTCACCCTAAGACAACTTAGTGAAAAGGCAATAGATTATAACAAACAACTCAATATAGCATTCATTGACCAAGAAAAAAGCCTTTGACAGGGTAGACAGGAACAAACTATGGAATATATTGAACGACTATGGAGTACAAGGTCAGCTACTAGACAACATCAGATCTCTGTACCAAACAAGCTCAAGCGTAGTTAGAACAAATGTTGGTATGACAGACGAATTCATACTAAGAACAGGAGTAAGACAGGGTTGTGTACTATCACCACTACTATTCAATATATACATGGACAGAATAACAACAGCAGCAAACCATGTAATGATAAGCGAACTGTTAACTACACCAAGCAGTGGGACAGAGTTAGTTGAAAGAGATCATTATAATGAAAACATACACGCCGATCCTGAAGAAGTATATCCCCAACTGAACGAAAATACTTTTCGCAGACGACCAAAGCATAATACTAATACATGAAAACAAAAAAGAACTTCAAATCCACGTAAATGCGCTACACACAGTCTGCAACGAATATATCATGAAGATCAGCATCACCAAAACAAAAATTCTGAAAATAAGTATAGCACCTAATATACTAACTATTCAAGTTAACAACGAACAACGCAAACAAGTGCAGCAATTTAAATACTTGGGGAGCATCTTCACAGATAATGGAAGAATTGATAGGGAACTTGAGGCAAGATGTCAAAAGGCGAACGCAGTAACTTACCAACTCTCTCCACTGCTAAAACACCCAAGCATCACTATGGCACTAAAACGACAACTGATAAATTGCATGTTTATACCAACCCTCTGCTACCAATGCCAAACCTGGTCCCTAACAAGAGCACAGGAGAAAAAGATCACGACGTGGGAAATGAGATGCTTACGTAAGGCTGCCAATGTCACAAGGAGAGACAGAGTTCGAAACGAGAACATTAGATCAATTGTAGGAACCACACCATGCCTGCAATACATAAAGAAGCAACAAATAGAGTGGTTTGGCCACTTGATGCGAATGCAAACCGACCAACTGCCTCTACGAGCATACAACGAACAGCACTACTGCCCTAGAGCAAGAGGCAGACCGAGAGTACCATGGATAGACAATATATCAGAGATCCTGAGGCAACACGGATTAACAACAACACGTGCAACACACCTGGCCCAGGATAGAAAACTGCGACTCCCCACTACGCTGTGAGGCAATTGTGGACAAGACAAGACAAGACAGAACATTATTTAATTTTTTTTTTTTTAAGAATTATTATTTAGGCCGACACCATCACTTTCTTGAAGACAAACTCTATAAAGCTGTCAACAAGCTTAAATTGACGGCTGTTTTCTTTAAATATATTTACATGGACATTTAAAAGTGTACTTCCGAGAAGATTAATTTACCGGCACTATCTGGGAAATAGGAAAATTGTGACTGAAGCAGCACATGGCCAGAATTTTTCGTATTTTTTGATTTTATTTAATGAATGATCCCTAGCCAACGCTGATTTTGACAAAATGGCGGCCGCCGGCGTAGACTTGATGAAAATGAAGGTATTGAATAATCATTTATGTATAATTTACACTACTATTTAATTTAATGTTTCTGCCTTTTATCCCAAATATAGAGTGGACTCTTTAAAATTTTACACCAAGTCATTTGAAGACTTATTCGTGAGTAAATAGGTATAAGATTAGGAAGCAGTACCAATTTTTATTTTTTTCACAAATTTAACCAATTATGTCAAATTGACATGCACGATACTAAAACGTAGATCTAGACGTAAGATTAAAACATATATGATATTTAAGTTTTACTCTTCTTTGCTTCTGTATAATGCATGGATTAATTTCTCAGTTTATCATGTTATCAGTAATGCAAATATTCTTATGAACTAAAAATTAATAATATTTAATAATATTATTAATGAAGTTTATTTTTTTTTTAAACAATAGATAATTATACATTTTGCCTCTCCTTTAAATAACGGTCGCTAGCTGGACGGCGACGGTCGGTTAGTCGGAGTTCACTCCCTTGGCTGCATTGCAAATAATACGGAGTGGAAAAGTCACGAATCAAAAAGGTCAAAAGACATCGAGCTCCAACTCATTAGCAACCACGTTCTTGTGACGCACGACATTGCCAGATTAGACATCTGTATGCTCCGATAACTCACATTAGTTGTGCAACCACGTTCTTGATGACGCACTGATGCTTAGTTGCCACAAATTCTGTGATATCCGGCAATAGCACGCGGCTCTGGTGCCCAATTTGGCGAATGACCGATTGAGTTTGCGTCAATTGTTTGGGGTGTATTCACTGCGGATTAGTTGGAAAATTTTGACACAGGAGTTCCACATCTGATAACCCAAACCGACCCCTAATCTGATGCTTGTGGCGTATGGCGCCACTGTAAGTATTCTCATTTGTTTCATTCTCTCTTTACGCTCCGTATTTGCAATGCAGCCAAGGGAGTGAGCTCCGACTAAGTGAACGTCACCTTTCCAGCTAGCGACCGTTATTTAAAGGAGAGCCTAAATTTTTATTGGGCTTTTCACCAATGAAACTGAAACCATCACAGCAAGATAGAGAAGCTAAGAAGCCAGTAAGTCAATTCAAGTGTAGATTTTTAAAATTTTATTAAAAGATAGTTAGACTGTAAGATACCACTACCACCATAGACAAATTACAGTAAAGGCCATATTTATTGTAATTCTCCTTATATATTTTTAGATATTTTATTTATTGTAGGTAATGTGTTTTTGTTTTTTTAGCATACTCAACTCAATACTCAGAGCGAAAGGGTAAAGACTTGAAAGGGGTCCTTAACTTCTTACTTCACTGTGACTAAAACATGAATATTATACTAAATCATTAGGCTGAATCTCATGTGGGTTCCGGGGCCCTATTATAGGGAAAACAGAATAGACCCACTGCCTACCCAAAAGCATGTCGTAAGAGTCGACTAATTGGGAGCTTCCTTCGAAATTGGAGTGCATCTGCCTGAGAGGCAAGGAACCAACAGTCTGCACACAAATGTTTCAGAACTGTCAATTGGATGCACATGCAAAACCCAGGTTTTGGAACAGGACTGCCGTCCAGAAGTGGACGAACAACCAAAACTTTCCACTAGAGTTTACAGCTGGTGAACACGAAGAAGAAGAAGATTAGGTTTAAACTCCATTGGCTTTGTTTTGAGCAAAGTTGAGCTTCTTTGAGTACAAAACATTCTTGTATTTCTGTATAGTATTTATATACTGTTTGTTTTCAGCTTTTGAGCTTTGTGCTATGTAAAGAGAGTGGGGAAATGAGAACAATTCAAATAATTTTTTTTTTTGCTAACACATTCATTATTAATTATTTTTTTTTTCTCACCAAGGTTCCTGAATTGAAACAGGCTTTAAAGGAAAAAGGACTTGCAGTTTCGGGTACAAAAGCTGAACTAGTCAAGAGATTAGGTGAAGCTCTTGGCACCACAGGTAATGTAACACCAAATTTAAGTAAGCCCTTTTGTTTATAAAGAAATCTGTAAAGTGATTACAGAAATTATACAAAGACATTCAATATTGTTTAAATGTCTTATAAGAAGGAATGATCTCGAGAACTCATTTAACTGGCAAGGCTCTTCAAGTTCTGGTTGTTCGTCCACTTTTGGATTTTGGTCTTGTTCTATAACTAGAGTTTGCATGCACATTTATTTTACACATCTGGCTTTTTTGTGTGTGTGTGCAGACTCTTTGTTTCTCACAGATGCATTCCGACTTTGAAGGACACCCATAAATAAGTGGTCTAACATTGCTATTTAAAAAAAATGTGGTTTGAAAGACCCTTGTGTTAGTCATACAGCATATAATGCAGTAACACAGAGGCTAGTTAGTTTTTTTGTGTGATTTTTTTTTCCAGACCACTTTATATGGGAGAACCTGGTGCAATGAAATCAGTCTTCTGCCAGTTCAGCTCTGTGGAAATCTCCACTTCCATAAAATGATTACTAGGTTTTTTTTCTTAGTTATGGGAATTGCCAAGGAAGGAACAGCGGTGAGAAAGAGAATTAGTCACCTTAAAGGTAATATCTGCATTTACTTTTACTTTTAAACATTCTGGTTTATATATAGGTAACTGTTTTCCCTTGTGTTGTTTTCAGTTGATGCTTCAAAAGATGTGTTGGAAGACAGCTTGCAGGGCATAGATGACATAGTAAGTCGTTACGTGGTTGTTGTTCAGAATGTTATCTTTGCTGCCTGTATTTACCACTTTGTTGGGCGATGTTCATTAGTTGATGTTCCAACACCACTACAGATTGATCATCTATAACTGCTCCGTTACTGTGCCAGTGGGGATCAAACACAATTTTTTTCAAAACTACTCAAAAACTTGTAGATCTATGCAAAATTTCAAAGCATGCACAAGCCAGGTAAAAATGCATAAGTCAGCTGTCAAATATGCCAACACTCAATCACAGTCCGTCACCAGAATAGCTGTTGGCGCAGTCAGGAAAGCTGCCATTGCACCTGCAAAACTGCCTGCCATTCTGAAACTACTCTGCCACTTGACATTTTAGTGCCATCAACAGTGGTGCCATGGGCACAACAGAAAAGGCACTCCGCTTTAAATCCACAGCTCATAGTGTCACACCAAGCACTGAGCTAAGTCACTGGGAATTGAACCGTTGCATTCACAGTCCAGAAATGAGGAATTAGCACCGGCAGAGCCTAGTTGGAAGCAAAGAAAACTTTTCAGAGCATTGGCAGTCCGGTCGGGTATCGGCCATTTTGGCTGGAAGGGCATTGTAGAACAGACAGGGTCTTGGGTCTGAGGATCTAGATCTGCATGACTAGTGCAGTCTGTAATTTTTCTCTGATGTATTCTGAATATGATAATATTACTGTGGTTCTCCCAGTGTTACTGTTTCTTTTGTGTGTGTGTGTGCAGCTTAATGATGATTCCCTGGCAGTCACCACCAAAGCAGTTACGGAAGCTACAGCAACACCAACACCATCTGTAAATCCTGCAACAAAGGAAGTAAAGCCAGTTTTACCATCAGAAAAGTCAGATGTTGTTTCATCAAATGGGGTAGCTGCAAAGTAAGAATCATTTTAGTAGGTTTATTTTTAAAATGTCTGTATCTTCTGTTTTTCTTAGCACTCAACAGGTGAAACGTTCTGGTTGTTTGTCCACTTGTGGACTTTAGTCTTGTTCTAGAACTTTAGTATTGCATGCACAACGATTTTTCACATTTGGTTTATTTGTATGCAGACTGTTGGTTCCTTGCCTTTCAGGCTGATGCAGTCCAACTTAGAAGGAAACACTTCTAATTAGTTGCCTTTTACAACTCGCTTGTAATCGGGTTCTGTTATTGTTTCACCCAAAATGGGCCTCTGAACCCACACGGGACTTGTGTATTTTTTGTTTATTTACTTTTATTTCCCAACAAGTAAGAATTTTGTCTCATCACACTGTTAGCTTGCAGAAGTTTTTCTGCATGACTAGTCAGTTTACTATACTGATGTTGCTACACTGCAACTCAGATCACAGAATTGATTTGGTGCTCCAGCAATAACAGCTAAGCAGTATATGTTACATTCTTATCATTGTGTATTTTATTGCAGCATCTGCTGTCAGATTGATTTGTCCTGTCACTTAGGGCAGATCCATCTGTTCTCAGTATTCCCTCAGTAGGTGTTCTTAAAGTGTATTGATTGGGAGCTGCATCTGTCACAGCTTGTGACTAGCTCTAGTGATTTCCAATTGTTGAATCAGGTCAAGATTGGGCATGTTATCAGCAGAAATAAACTTAATTAAACTGGCAGACTTGATGGGATGAGCCATGGAAGGCAGAAATAAGTGCCCATGTAGCTTTACCTTGATAGAGACAAGAATACAGAACTGATCCAAGGCTCAATCAGGAGAAATAAACTTAATGAAACTGGTGGACGATGGGAAATGGGCAAGGGAAGACAGAGATAAATGCCCGTGAGGCTTTCCTTGATCAAGACAAGAATACATAACTGTAGAGCCAAGGCTCTAGTGATCTTGTGAGATGGTGAACCATGACCATCCATGCCTATCAGTGTGGCACATGATGGTGTTGAGTTCCTACAGTTATAAGTTGAGAAGTTTGATTTCATTGGACCAGGCTCTCCCATATAGGTTGATCTCTCTGCAGCATGGCTGGCTACCTGCCAAGCATGTCACACAAACATGAACTCTTTAGTTCCAGTAATGATACCCATCAATCTCCATTAAAAAAAATGCACTTGTGATGCATCTTCATTCCTGTATTTTTATTACAAAAATGGTTAATGTCTTATTTTCACTGTCTTTTGTCCATCTTTTTTTGCTACACTACTGTTATCTTTGAAGCCAGTACATATACGCCAGCCCTCTCATTGCCATTGAATCCCCATATGGGTTACTAGGACCCCGTAGTGGGGAAAACAAGAGTATATCCACTGCCTCCCCAACAAGCATGTCGTAAGAGTAGACTAAATAGGGAGGGTTCCTTCGAAGTCAGGGTGCATCTGCCCAAGAGGCAAGGAACTAGCTATCTGCATACAAGTAAGTCAGATCTGTAAAACAGATGTGCACACACCACTCAGGTTCTTTAACAATACTTGTATCCAGAGGTGGACGAACAACCAGAACTTTCTGCCGGTGAATGCGAAGAAAAAGATTACCATTGGACACTGCATGACCAGGGCAGTAGTTTGCTGTTGCAGTTTCTTCATGTAAATAAAATAAAGAGCATATGGACCCAGTTAATTTTGTCAAGCTTATTTATTTGGTTTTAATATAAATTGGCATTATGTGGATAGTGAGGTCAGTATCACACCAGCTGACTTCATTTCCTGTTGCCCATTTTAAGCTGGGTGAACTGTAAATGTGCATCAGAGTATCAGCAGTCGACTCTGGCACCGGTTCCAAGCCAGTGGCACAGCTGAAGATCGATATCGCAGGTGTAGCAGTGGTCGACCTAGAGTGACAACGGCTACGGAGGATCACTTTGTTCAACTTCCTCACCTCAGAGACAGGTTTACAACAGCTTCCTGAGTTGCGCAGTCATTGCCTCCAGGACGTCATTTGCCTGATCAATTTGTTTGGAATAGACAGTATGGTGTTGTACAGCTTTATCATCCTGTTGTGAGGTCACATAGAGCTTGCAGTCTTCCTCCGTTTCATTCCATCCTCTGACATTTTTTTAACATCATGGATGGAATCCAGGCCAGCTCCTTTGGCATCTCATCCGCATTCATGTTAGGGTTTCTCTTGGACATTCTCATTTGTCAACCTAATTGTTTTCCTATTTCAGTGCCAGTTTGGTGATTCACTGCTCGCCCAATATAATGCCACCTTCTTTGTGTTGTACAACAAATTATTGGGGTTTTTTTTCGCATTCAAACTGCTGAGCCAGTGTTTGCATTAATTCTTGTTTGATTTGCAGAGCAAATGTTAGCACGACTAATGCTGCAGACACTACTACAGTAGCTGGGAAACCTGCAGAGGTGGCCAAGCTTTCTGATGCTGAGGTAGGAATGATTACTTAAATAATCTAGCTAACTAATATGTTTTTTTTTTTTTTTGAGTGAAAAATGCGGAAGCGCAAATAGATCATGAGGGTCTAAGGAGTTACCAGGGGATCTGGCCGACGCTCAGCACTCAAGGGAAGGGCGAGATAGATATACAATCAGACAGTTACTGGTGTCATCAGAATTGGAACTCTTTGTTTGCTGCTGAAGATGGGGTCAGCGCACTTATCGGAGTGTCCTGAGTGCTATGATGTCAATTCTAAATGCAACACTCAGCCAATAAAGTTTTAAAATTGCGATTACTACCTGTATTTACCACTTTTGTTTTTAGGGCCACATGGTTAGTGCTCTTGTCACGGACTGCACATGTAAGAATTTTACCCCCGCCGCAGAAAACAAAACCCCGCCCTTACCAAGGATTTGAACCCAAGTCTTCTGCCTGAGAGCCCTGCATACTTAATGTTGGAGAGCCGCTCTACTAGTATAGCTTTAAAAGTTATAAAATAAATTCTGTGAAGTTTATGTAAACTTCAGTTTTGCTGACTCTTGTTTAACTGACATCAGATGATTTGTAAGTTATTTTTACATATAGTAGGTTAAAACAAGTTGGTGTCTGTGGCTTAGGCGTTGCGAACAAGCTTCGTATTGCCAGGGTGTCGGGTTCGATCCCAGCTGTGGGCCTTGGTTTCGACTGGTATCAAGAAGCCGATTGTCCAGAAAGCAATGGCAAACTGCTGGACGTAAATTTGACTAGAAAAATCACATCAGCCAAAAAATGCTGTGGTTGGTTCTGCAACATCCTGTAAAGGATACGCAACTAACTTTAGGTTAAAACATGGGTCACAGGCGGACAAGTGGCATCACTGAGCAAAGTCTCATGTCAAGTTGAAATTATTTTATTAATATGGTACACTTATTTAACTTTGTCTCAGTGGATGTTAGGCTTAATTGCAAATATGATTATTCTTTTATTAATGTAACTGTTGATGTTGGCCACTACAGATTCCATTTCAATAATTACGGACAATTTGAAAGATTTTTTTCCACCCTTTTATTCACTAAAAGATTTTGAGTGTGAGAGAAACAGAGAGAGAGATGAATAAATTTTTATTCCTTGAAAGTCAGAGTGCATTTGCTTGAGAAGCAAGAAACCAACATACAAATAAGCCAGATCTTCAAAACGGATGTGCATGAGAAACTCAATTTCTGAAACAAGACCAAAGTTCAGAAGTGGACAGACAGCCAAGCTTTGCCGCCAGAGTTTACAGCCAGTGAATGCTAAGAAGAATGCACGTCTGTGCAACATATTTCTGCAAGCTTATGTCTGTGGCCCATAGGCTAATGAAATGGTTTCACAATGCAATCCTCAGCGTTTACCTGGATTAGATTCACTCTGTGGGTGGTTAAGAAAAAGACGGCTGTCATTACTTTCATGCGGTGATACAAGAGTCAGCTCTTAATATTCCCATAGTTAGCAGTGGTTACATTGTAGCCAACCTCTGTTGTTGTGGAGACTGCAACATTTTGAATTGTTTAATGAATGCAAGCTTCTTTTGATGTTTCTGACAAAGTATTTCAGACAGTGTTTAAGTAAGTAATAGTGCACAATTAGCATAAGGAGACAAGTGAGACTTAACATTTAATATTTTCTGACTTTGCTAACCTAGAGGCTGAAAATGAGAGCTGAGAAATTTGGTGTAGCATCAGCTGATGCCAAGAAAGAACTCCGAGCTCAAAGGTATAAAATTCTATTTTTTGTCTCTCTCTCTCTCTCTCTCTCTCTCTCTCTCTCTCTCTCTCTCTCTCTCTCTCTCTCTCTCTCTCTCTCTCTCTCTCTCTCTCTCTCTCTCTTTCCCTTTTATTTTTCACACTGACAGAAAAATATCTACCACCTGACCTATGATTCGGAACTGGGTCTCTCACATGAGAGCCCGGAGCTCTTAACCGTTAGACCAGCCACTCCTCTAGATATTCCCATAAATGTCCCAGTCTCCTCCAGGGATCACATAAGGAGAATCTCAGTTCAGGCCAAGAACACAACACTAGCTAGAATCAATGTATGAGTCTATTAGAATCACATACTTTACAAATCATCATCTGTGCGTAAACTGACTAGTTCTGAAATTTAGCTCCAGCTGCAGTCTACCCATCCTGCCGTGGTTTTCAGCTTGCTGTCACCAGCACACAGGCCCTTTCATCGTTGTCCCGGAAAGTTAGATCTATGATCAGTACCTTACTTCCCATTTGCAATCATTCAGTCCGCCGACAAATCAGAGCATTTCTTTATAAGCCAGAGGTGAACATCGTTAGCCCAGAGCCACTCTACCTCTTGATTTCCATAATGAGTGGTTAAATGCTTTCTTATATATGTTCAAGTTTCTCTTTATTTTAGCAACTTATGATTTGATGACTGTGAATACTGTATCAGGGTCCAGCTGATATTTCTTCTTCTTCTGCCTTCTAATTCCCCCAATGGAGCGTAGACCCTCAACCAACTCACACCAGGGTGTTCTATCTTTTAATGTTGTATGCGGCTCACTCCATGTCTTCCCTGTCTTTTTATCATCACTTTCTAGCTCCCTTCTCCATGTGTTTTTTGGTCTGCCTTTATTTCTGTACCCCTGTGGGTTCTGGTTCAAAGACACTTTAGTTATATTGTTCTCAAATTTTCTCAGCGTTTCCTATCCAACACCATCATATTTTCTTCACCACTTGGTCCACTAAACTTGTTTAGTTCTCTCCCATAGCTGAGCACTAGCGTGACTATTATGCCATTTAATTCCCCTCATATGTCAAAGCTGTGCCTAAAGAGCTACATTGTTTTACATCTGCCCCCTTTCCCCAAATCAGAGCAGACCCTGCATATGATGGCTGTTGTGTTTTGGTTTGTAATGGCCCATATATATTTCATACATGCTCTTCTGCTCATTGTTATCACATTAGGAGTCTGAACACAGTCTACAATCTCTGTAGCATTGGTGAGAATTCCAATTAGTATATTCCAGATCCTCATAGGCTGTAAAAATTATGTTAATGATTGGGTTTCTCAGAAGTTGCATATTTTGCATGGGTGCTAGCCTATTCAGCTAATTTGTGAACCATAGTATCATGTATAATGTTTCACCCTTACTTTAAAACCAGAACCACTCAATTGACAGGCAGGTGCCTGATGTTTTTACAACTGACGAAGAAATTTAAGCTTGCATGCAGTTCCTCCTAGTTTTTCACCCATATCCAAAGGCTAGCTGATGCCAAGAATATTGTCCTAGCTTATATGTAACAACCGGCCTAATGCTGACCACATTACCCACCTAGTGCCAATTTGTCTGTAAAAATATGGGTGCTGTTTCCATATGCCTGATGCGCTTAAAGGCGTGAAAAGTCTCTTTATTTTTTACTTTACTTGTGAGTAACAAACTAATTTGTAAAGCTTATCCACCATCACTTTAAGCTTTAATTCCGGTGTCTCCATTTAGCAAATTGGAACTCTATTGCCGACAAGGATGTAAAGGTGTCAATAAAAATGTGTAATGTTATTTATCATAAAATAAAGTACCAATGTGGGTTCCAGGGCCCCATTTTGGAACTTACTATGATAGACCCACTGCCCCCCTAACAAGCACGTCATAAGAGTTTACTAATTTGGGTTGTTTTCATCGAAGTCAGAGTACATTTGCCTGAGAGGCAAGGTACTAGCGGCCTGGTGCAAATTAGCCAGATCTGTAAAATGTATTTGAACAAGACTAAAGTCCAGAAGTTGATGAACAACTAGAACTTTCCGATGCAGATAGCAGCCAGTGAACGTGAATAAGGAAAAGGTATAATAAAGAGAATGTAGGTGGTGGCTGTTAGCAGGAGTGAAACTGTTGAGTGCTCACACAGCTTTATAGAGCTCATGACAATATACTGTTAGCATCCTGCACTCTGTATTACTCCAGTTGAATTGTTCTCTGTTTGTCCCTGTTTAGGTTTGGCTTGTCTACTACAGGAGGTAGTGGTGATACTTCCAAGCCACAGACGGTGAGTGATTGTAATGTTTATATAGTTTAAATCCTTTAATAAAATAGCTGATGCAAAGGGTTTTGGAGCCAGCCAGACTGATACTGTTGTCAAATATTTAGTGAAGTTTACTTTATATAGCAATCAGTCTATGCTAAGTCTACTTGGATATGTACCAACAATTACATCAGTATAAATTGTAACTCTGAGATAAAAGTTATGGATCCCATTTTGTATGCCAGCCTGGCATATTGGGTATGCTCAGTCAGTTGACAATAGGGACAACATATTGGCCAATATGTCTCTGTGGAAAGGGGGGGGGGGGGCTGAAGCCGTATATGTTGAGAAAACACACCTTGTGACTGTTTCAGCTAGAGCGTAGACTGATTTTTTTTTTTTTTAGAATTGCTAAGAAATAATGTGGATAGAAGGTTAACTTGCATGATGCTAATATAGATATAGTTTACAGTTGTTGATTCTAAGATATTAGATTAGTTGCTTGGTACAGATTAATGAGTTGCATTGTTATAATTGAATAATTTACTTGATTTATCTAAGGATAAAATATATAAAGCCTGTAAATGCTACAGAATAAATTCTTTTAAAACCATGACTCAATGTTGCAAGTTTATATGTAATCATTGTTAAAGTTTATTTATAGTGGTCGGAATTTGCAAGTTAGTAATTGTTTCATTGAGCAAGTGGTTTTAATCTTGTTTTTTTTTTTTCTGTTACTGTAGCCTGATGAATTAGAGCGATTAAAGAAGAGAGCTGACCGCTTTGGGGCTGTGGTATCAACCTCGTTATCCAAGGTTAGTGTCTATATTTCAGTGTACAGATTGAAATAATTCAAGAAAACATGAGAGGATGAGATGGATAAACGTGAGTTTTTCAAATGACGAAAATGCATCACCGTTGAGTTATTCCATTTGTTTTCACAGAAAACAACAAGTATTGGATTGTTCTTTTGAAAATATTTTATTTTATTTGTCTACATTGACACTCCAGTTCTTTCATTTTCTATGTTTGTCTTCATCGACAGTCCAGTACTTTCATTTTCTATGTTCAGAACATAATTAATTGTTCTATGTACTTGTGTGTAGTAGAGATTTTATTATTAACCTTTTTTGCCCTGGAAATGTTTACAATAAATAAGACTATGAAGCCGACACACACACACACACACACACAATTTTAGTTAATATTTTGACGTGAGCCATTGGGGGGGGGGGGGGGGGGGGTAAATTTCCTGTATTTATATATATTGTTTAAGAATTTCTTGAAAATATGACGGGGGAAGTAATCAATTAACACGGAGTGAAGAATTTACTGCGTTTTATTCCCCGTTTCTAGAAAAAATGTGTCAGGTGTCTCACCTAGTGACTTTGGAATTATTCTAATACTAAAGCTACGAGCATGTCAGCTCTAAAATAGCCATTTTACAGGCCTTTCCCCTCCTTCCTCCTCCCCATTCTGTTTTTAATATACATATATATTCATACCCTGAGCTCCTAAATGCTGCAAAGGCACAAACACACCCCCTGGTGGTAGCTAGGTGTCTTGGAAACATGCCACTGAGGAAATGCTAGATAAGTGGCATTTACAGGATTTAGTCACTGCTAAGAATTAACTGGCCTGGTTCTCTGGTTCAGCCATACTTGAAATGAGTGCCAGAGAATATTCTGAGAAATAAAATAGTTACCACATAACCCACAAAGTGTCGATGGCTCTCTAGAAACATGAGGCTAGCACTGTGTACACAAATATGCCTCAAGATGTGTACACACACAAAAAGGCCCACTAATTTACATTAGTTATATAAAGCTAGGCGTGGTTTTTTAACATGGTGTTGCATGTCGACCCAGTCTAAAATAGGTACCAATATGGCTGTCCTGGGAAAGTAAAGACGGCTGGCGTAATGCTGTCCACATTACCCACCTAGTGCCGATGGTCTGTAAAAATATGGGTGCTCTTCCCTTATTCCCGATACGCCTAAAAGGTGGTGAAAAGGGATTTTTACTTTCTTTTTCTTTTATAAAGAGCTAGATGTGTTTATAAGGCCTGGCTTGCTGTTAGATCTGTGACACAGAAGCTGTCATTGTTCATTGAGAATATGTTACCTTCTCTTTGTTCTGTAGGTTGAAGAGGAGGAGAGAAAGAGAAAAAGGGCAGAAAGGTTTGGCGGTGCCGCAAAGACAACCACTACTGCAGCAGCTACAACAGCTGTGAAGACAACTACTACTGCAGCAACTACAACTGTAAAGACAACTGCAGGAGTTGGTGGCACAGATTTGGATGTTGAGGTATTCGATGCTGTCAAGTGTTGAGTAAAGTTACCACTCAGTGTTATAGAACTGACATGTTTTATTTAACGGATGCCTGCAGTGCACTGTTAGCGGTAGCATCACATATCAGGGTACTCACTCACTCTGGCATTCTAAAAGATTGCCCAAGGTTGAGATGCTCAGTTTATGTAGATGTGAAAGACAAGAGGAGACTACCACATTATATATATCCCTAGAAACTTTAAACGGATCTTTCGGGCATCCCGGAAAGAGAGCAACGCTTTGTAAAAGACATGCTGATTGATTGACAGGTTATTTATATATTTTTGAATAGAATTTATCAGTTTAGAGTTGTTACTCCCATAACCAAATTCTTTGGAAATAATATAATATGTAGCAATAGCGCAATGGCTGCACGTCACTTTCTGGCCTGAAGATCTTCGGTTTGAGTCTATTTTGCCGATTTGTGCTTCACTATCAGATTGACCTAGCTTTAAATGAGTACTGTCCTGGGAAGTAAAGTGGGCTGGCATGATGTTGACACTACCTGTTGAGTGCTGAATGGGCTATAGAAATATGAGTTAACTCTTTCACCTGTAAGCTTTTTAAAAACATCACCTGTTTTCAATTTAGTTTAAAAAATGCATCCACTATTAGTTACTCGCCTCTAAAGCAGAAGCTGTCTGCAGGTGGCTAGTCCTTCTGCAGAGAGAGACTGAGCTACATGAGATTTTTTTTAAACCTTCAGTGAAGCCAGTCCTTCAAACTAGAATAACAAGTGGTCAGATGCCAGAACTGATGGTGCCTTATGTGATTAATTGCATGTACAACTACTGATCTCTTGTAACTTCTGCATTTCCGGACTGACTGTGTTGGCACTTCTGATTGATTCCTTATGCATGTATGCATATGTATGCTATTGCCTTTGCTGAGACTGCAGTCTGTCAATATTTTTCACAAGGGACAATAATGGACATTCTATGTGTGGTTGTCATTGGCACAGGAGCAGAGCAACAATGGGGTGACTAGTGTAAATGCAGTTACCTGGTTACCTTTAGATTATCTCTTAGTTTCACTATTTACATGTGTACAGAAAGATATGGTTCTAACTTTATGGCTGCCCTGGTAAAACAGGGTGTCGTGTTTGATCGTTGTTGAATAAGTACTTCAGTTATAAAGCATTCATTCATCTGCTTCATTTATGTAATTGTTTCTGTAGTATGCACCTGACGAGATACAGCGAAATGTGCCCGGCAATAAATTGTGCAATCAATTGTTTGTGTCTTCTTTGTTAAATTTACAACGGAGAAACATTGCTTTGATTATTTGCATGTAATTTCATCACAATGTTTTTGTAATTTCTGTTTTATTTTCTGTTCTCCCAGGCTAAGAAACGAAAAAGAGCAGAGCGCTTTGGACTGGCAACATAACCAAGAAGTTATGGCGATGCTACACCAATTGTTCACTAAATATTCTTATAACCTATTCATGTACATATGTCTACATTATATCCTTTGGCCGGGTTTAATTTTCCAAAAAAAAATACATTTTTTAAAACTTCTAGCAATAGAAGTAGAGGCACATTTTCAAGGGAACTTCTAAATTGTAATCTAGAACTATGTGCCTTAAAGTGAAAGTTTTAGACCAGTTTTAATTTCATTTGTAATTTATGTCATCTTATTGTTTTAATGTGTACTTTTGTCACTCTGATTCCTGAATAAAATTGGAGTGTCATAATAAAATGATTAATTTAATAAATTGTGTTGCACGATTTGCTTAGATTTTTATTTTTGTTTTGTTTGCAGTTCGGCTATGGGATGAGAAGGTATGAGGATGATGAATCTTCGTATCAGTACAAGGTAACCCAGACATGAAGATTCAACATCATCATACTTTCTCATCTCATAGCCGAACTAGCATCTGACAGTTTGATATAAGATGTAATTTTATTATATTCGCCTCCTTCAGTTCCAAGCAGGTGTTAATGCAATATCTTCTATCCCATATTGAGTATACTTTTGAGGAGAGAAAAAAATTTTCATACTAGATGTTGAAATAATAAACTGAAACAGAGAAGAAAAATAATATTGGCAACAAAATACAGTAAACCAACCACATACTGAAATCGATCAAGAGATTGAAAATATAATAGATTTATGAATATGTTGTCCTAGTAGCCAACAACCATGGCAACTGCACAAAAGAAATTGGAAAGAGACTTACTTTAGCAGTGCAGAGGTTAAACAGCATGAAGAACCTGTAGCACAAGCTGAAGTAAAACTTCAGATCCTGCATCTTTCCTTTGGCAACTTATAGTGAGTCATATACTCTTACTAAGTCTTTGAAGAAAAAACAGAAACCTTTGAAATGAAATGCTTAGAATATTAACATCAAGAAGAACTGTCTCATAAACAGCATCCTGTCCCAAAAGCGGAGGTATTTTGACCATGTTAAGCATTATGATGGCCTGAAGAAAAATGGTGATGGAAAGGTGAAGTTTCTGTAAAAACGAGGCAAACGGTCAGCCTCCATGATGTTGGATACAGGACATAGTGAGGATGCATTGGCTATGAAGGCACAAAGGGCTCAAGAATCAGCTAGAGAGAGACTTTCAGCGTGTCTGTAGAGACATTCAGGTCTGCCATGAAGTGAGCAATGTTCTCCAAAGGGTCTGCTGATTGATGATGAAACCGAAGGATTTTAAACATTTGTGGTAGTTTGTTAATGGGAGAGGAGTTCTAAAATATATACCATGTATATTAACTGAAGTCAGTGTCGGTGGCTTAGGAGTTGCATGGTTTGTAATTCTGAGATGCCTGGTTTCAATTCCAGATGTGCATTCTGACAATGGTATCAAGGGCCAACCTTTGAAAAAAAGCACTGGCACACTGCTGAACTTAAAAGTTGGCTTGTAAAACCACAAACAGACAACAAAGACAGGTTGGTTTGCAGCGTTCTCTAAAGGCGATGGAGCTAATTGTGGAGTTCATGATTAGCGTTTGGTTATTATCAAGTGCCTTGCCAAACGGCATTACAGATCTTTAGCAGAATATTAGTTCCAGACCTGACATTTTCCACGCCATGTTGGACTGCTTGTCTTTACTGTGATGTCTTTCTCTCTTTTTCCATGAATTTTTCTGCTTACAGTATATTCCAGATTTCTTCTTTTGATAAAAAATGTTTTATTCTTATGTTCATAATAAATTGTCATTGTATCTTAATCTCTTAGTCAATAAAATGCCCTGTGGGGATTCCAGGGCCTTATGTGGGGGGGGGGGGGGGGGAGAAAAGGCCGCCCAACAAGCATACTGATGGAGTTGATTAATTAAGGATATTTCCTTCAAAGTTGTGGCTTAAAAAAAAACAGACGCACTGCACCACACACCACCTACCCCAACAAGCATGTCGTAGGAGCCAACTAATTAGAGATGTTTTCTTCAAACTGGAAGCACAGGTGCCTGAGGAACCAACAATCTGCACACAAATAAGCCAGATCTGTAAAATGGATGTGCACGCAAAACTTAGGTTCTGGAACATGACTAAAGTTCAGAAGGGGATGAACAACTTGAACAATCCGCTGGAGTTAACAGCCAGTGAAGGCAAAGAAGAATAAACAAAGTCAAAATCTTCAGTCATGTGTGTGTGTCTCTCCTCTCTCTCCCCCCCCCCCCCCCCCCCCCCCCCCCCCCCCCCCCCCCCCCCCCAGCCAAAACACATAAAGTAAGGATTCATCATCATTATGTGGTTCTTTAGAACACTACTGGTCCTCCTCGAGTGCTGGAGGTTCTGGTTCAATATCGGGTAAGGGTTGGATTTTTTTCACGTGGACTTGGGCTTCTAGTAATTCCCCCTGGTCTCTAGGTAGGGAGATCTGACCCCCCGTATGCATTGTTGCACGTAAAAAAAATCCCTTGGCAGTTGGAAATCGAAAAGAGTAGCCTAACGGTGCTGCAAAATTTGGAGTTAAAAATCAACCCAAAGTATTTCAGGATCCTCACCTGTGCTATAGAGCCTGTGGACTGTGCTGAGCTTCTTTGGACTCTCTCCCATCTTATGCACTTTCCTGCCCAAGGTATTTTGTCCCGTTCTCACCTTCAAGCTGGTGGGCCCCTGCCCCACTTATCCGGTCTCGTGCTCCCATTGTTATTTTCCATGACGTTTGCTGTCTGTATTTCAGTTTCCCAGACAAGATGCTGTTTACGATCCACTTTTCCTTGATTTCTTAGAATGTATGTCTTTTCTTCTTGTGTCATGGAATTCAAAGAATCTTTCTAAAGAATTTCAACTGAAAAGCCCCTATTTTCTTTCTTAATGACTGCAAGATAATTCACGACTCACCCCCATATGTTGCAATGGGGAAGATGCAAAATTAAGCATTAATCACAAATAATAAACCAAAGAACCAACAAAAATGTGAAATTCAAAATAGGCAGTGATTTTTACATGAAATAATAACAGTTTGACAATAAAGTATTTAACAATAAAATAAAATAACAATCTGACAATAAATTACATAACAGAATTCTATTGTAAGACATTTTTGTATGTCATAAAGTATTATTATTATTATTTAAAATATACAGCAAGTTGTTTAATAGAACTAAACAATGGAAGAAATGAAGGCGTTGCAACAGTAATGAAAATGGCAATATCTACAAAACAAAATTCCACATTGTGTATTCTCCATCTCAGTGGCGGTGGTCAAATATTTACTATCCTACTTTGCTCAAAATGGCTCAGAGACAATCAATAAACAGACAATGCAGACTACAGTGAAGCTTAAATCTATCCTTTAAAAAAAAAGCAAAGTTATCCTGTGGTGCATTACTGTTTTGTTTTTAAAAACAACGCTCTTAGTTATCAGAGGGTGCGTTTTTGTTGACTGACAGGAAAGACTACACCTTAAAAACTATCAATGACCCAGATGCAAAAGAACTGTTTAGTTTTGACTGATTAGTTCAAACCTAAGGCAGTGTTTCTCAAACCTTTTTTTGATTGAAGCGCTTTTTTTTTCAATGAAAATTTTTCCACAGCGCCCTAACCTAAGTAAAAGTATGACTATTCGTGTCTTGGTTAAATTCATTATGAGGATTTTACAATATTTTGCGGCCCCCCTGGGGTGCCGAGGCGCACAGCTTGGGAATCACTGACCTAAAGTATTTACATTTGCAATTTTAACATTTTCACTCACAGAAATTGGTTGTAAACGGTATACTAACAGCTAGTCACTCACTGTACCCTGTCTGCATTTACTTCTTCTGGCTAACTGTTTATGCACAACCAGTGCTATTTATGCAGATAACCCCACAGCAAGTCATTCTTCCTCAGCAAATTATAAAAAAAAAAATCTGCACCAGGACAGATTTGTTTATAAAATGTATCCTGACTCCCATGGTGGACCCAATTTAAAATGGGCTCTAGGAAATGTTCTTGGAAGTAAAGGCAGCCAGAGTGATGTTTACTACATTAACTAAATTGAGTGCCACTTTGTTTGTTTGGGGCTAGTATACTATGCCAGATTTGCATGTGGCTGATAATAGTCCTTCACTTGAAAAAATAAAAAAGTATTTATGCTGACTTTTTATATACGTTTTTCCTTCTGGTCTTTTTCATAACTAACCCAAATACGCCATGAACTAAATAGATAAAAATCTTCTAAAATAAAACATACATACAAACTGTGTACATGAAACAAATCACATAAGCTCATAATAAAAAGAAATGTATACAAACTCATAAAATGCTCCAGTGTTCAACATGGTAAAGTATAAACAAAGAGAGGTTTGGGGTGTTTAAAAAAAAATTATAAATAATTGTAAAGATAAAATAGCAAAAGTATGACAATTATAGGACACAGGCAATAAGATAACGAAATTAACAATTTAACATAGTAACAGACGTATTAATAAGTTAACTCTTTCCATACTGTGCAACTCACCTTATATTTACCGTTTTGTCCAACAACAGCCGACTTTTCTTTCTTTTATCTCAGATGATTGTTACATATATTTATCACATATCCAGACAACCACCATGACACGTAGTATACACCCACTGGTTAATTCTGTTTCAACTACACAGCGGAGATCCTAGCACTAAAGCAGGCTGCCAAAATGTTACACAACACCAGTTCTTACTGCTATCAAGTGGTCATCTTCACAGATGCAATATTGATGCAACAAGCCTTCAGGGTGGTTAACTCCCTCACCTGAACTTAGTGAGGTGGCTGCCAAATAGCAGACATCACTCCAATGGTTTCTACTGTAGTATACTTGGAAACAAGACCACAGATAAATTGGCTAAGAAAGAGGCAGAATGTGAACGGAAAGACAATGTAATAACATACTTTGAGGGGAAAAAAAAGGGCCATCCAGTCTACCAGAAGTGAACAGAATATGGCCAGAGTTGACTATCACTTACAGGTCATCAT